CGATCCCGTCCCGAAAGATTCGAACCCGGGATCTATCAGTCTCACTCGTGATCGCTTAACCTCTAAACGACCAAGCTGGCATGTCTAACTCCAAACAATCCACGAAATTGCGTAACCGTCCACCACTGTCCTTAGTGAGTTTCTATTTCACAAGAGATTTAGTGGTCTAGAGAATAAGCGTTCGCGCGTGAGATTGATAGGTCTTGAGTTCGAATCTTGCGGGGCGGGATCGTGGATGTGCACCTTTGAGGAGTCTCTGACCAGGACAAAACGGCCGTCCAATGCTTCTAGGATTTCCGTGATAGTCTAGCTTCTTATGACTCATGAATACAACAATAGAAATTACCCACACACTTTTGTATAATCGGATGAGTATTGAATAAAAAGGATATAATAGTTCATTTACATTATCTTGGTTTAAAAACAAAAAAGAAGAACAAGCGATATATAATAAATAAATTTATTTGCTCATTAAAGAACCTAAACATTGTATATGATATACACAGATATAACTAACATCGTATAGATTAACAGAAAAATCAACCCCTCTCCCCCCCAAAAAAAACCCGTATAAGATCATTCCTGCAAAGTATTTCTCGGACGATTATTGTCTTTCATAGAATAACCTGTAAACTATGCGACAATAAAATATTTGCTTGTATATTTATATCAACAACAAAAAAATTATGTTTATGAAAAATTTAGTTTTTGCGTTGGTATGTTTCTTTTGTGACTTAAGGCTATATCGAGGCAATCCGCATAGGATACACATATGCCAACATAAGACTGATCAATTGCAGTCCTAAATAACAATGGAAAGGTACATGTAAAGCAACACTAAGTGTTTCCTTTTTTTGTTTTTCTTTTTTTTAGAAAAAAATATTTTAAAAATGGAATTTGGCAACCATAAAGTTTTATAAATTATTAACATTATGATACTTTTACAAACTAATTCGAAAGGTTACTAACGCTTAGAAATCCGTTTATGTTTAGAATATTCTGCTTATCGTAGCACAATTTCTTTTGTTTTTACTTTATGTATGGGTTGGAATGTTTGAAAAAACATTAAAGGGAATAGAGAAAACAATCCTTATTTTCTTCAATAATGACATGTAAAGATATTTTAACAAGTTATCTGTTTCTTTTGTTTGTTTTAATACATCATTATGGTCATTGATCGCATAACTTATTCAAGCGCATTTTTTGAAAAGTGTACACCATTTCGTTGTACAAGTTATAAAAGGTTCAATCAGAGATATCTTGGTCGCTGACAATATACAACGAAAAAAATGTACATTATTTAGATGTCGATTGACTGGACTGGTAATTTTTAGATGATGATCACTTAAAATTTATCGTCAGGATCGATCTCAGAAGTAACAAAAAAGAAACTTGCTGAAATATTTTGTGCTGAAATTTCTATATTGTGCCAAAAATATAATATTGAATAAAGCTAATAATAATATAAGATAGATTAAGCTAAATGTACAATGGAAAGCTATAACTGATAAAATAAACCATATCAAAAATCATTCATAAATCGACGAATGGTATTAACTAGGTATACTACAGGTAGATTGATGGTGTGAAATTAGATTATTGAACTCCAATTCAGTGATCAAAAGGTATCTTATACATCTAAAGATATAAACTTTCTAAGCTCAACCCAATGTCATTCTGTGTTTATAGACTATTCGGTAAACTCCAAACAAAACATTAAAATTCTATACTGTTCTGTCGTACCTTCAAATAAATAAATAAGGGACATTCATATAACAAACTTCTTCATTGAAACTCATTCCTGTACACTAGTAGATAAAAAATTTAGTTTATAGATGGAGGTATTTGTGGTGGAATTATGGTAAATACACCGGTTCACTTATTTTTTCGGAAGTAAAAGCATGAAGTTTATGAATTTAAAATGTTATTTAAAAAATCATTTTGTATTATTTGTTTAAATCATCCCATTGTTGTCTAGGACTGCAGTTGATCAGTCACTTATCAGCATATGTGCATACTGTGCATGTTGCCTTGATATTGCCTCAATTCACAAGCATTATAAGCAAAGATGGATATTGGCTAGCAGTGCAATCTAGGACGCAGTTTTCGTCCTATTTGTGACTTGTCAGATGAAAGTACCTGTATCTGAGAGTTGATGTTCCCTCTGGGACTCGAACTCAGTACTGTTTGCTTCAAACACCATCACTTTACCCACTTAGCTACTGAATACTGATATTCACTTGCTTGTGCAATGTGTTGAAGTTTAAATTTACTTGGTATCGTTTAATTGAATATATGATCTTATTGGTAATCAAAATTGAATTATGCAACCATAATCAAACGATGTTTATTATTTTCTCTATGTTTTTCTTGTTATTTTTAGTAGAATGTTGTGGAGATGACGTAAAAAGACTAAGAAATTATGTATCTGTAATTTAAGTCGAGGGATAAATACATAATACAAAACAGAATTCGGATATTTAGAGATTTCACATAGCCATCTTAACCACATCTAAAAATTAATCAAAGGATCAAATGGATCTATTGAAGTTAGACATTAACGCCGTTGAATACCGACTCAATGACCTACAGATTAAACGTTAGTGCACGAGACAGAAGGATCTGGACACCATACCCATTTGTGGGATCGTGGATGCAAACTGCTCGATAGTCCTTACTAGTATGTAATGGCAGTTCAGTACCTTCAGATTTTCAATGGTTGTCTAACCTAGATTGATTTATAACTTCAATAGAATTACACTTAACTTTTATTCTGAAAGCAGTTACTACTGATAAAATTGGTAGTTATTCAAGTTTTTAACCAAAACATAAATTTACCCCCAAAATGTATCAATAAGGCCAGTACATTTATCAATAAATAATAAATTATAATATACATATTACACTTAGGTTAATTACTTTACGATTGATGAAATGTACTGAAATGTGCTGTAAGAAACATCCCTTTTTAAATATAGAGAATTATATTTTTAAGGTAAACAAAAATCTATTTTGACTTTTAACAATTTGATCAGTAATAGATAACCTGATAAACTTTTACAGAAGCGAAAATAATACAATCAGTATAAAATATGAAAATGTTTCCTGTATTTGAGAAATAAAGAGTTATTATCAGAAGGGGTTTTGTGGTGATTTTAGTAATTTTATAGTTGAATTTATGAAGCTAAACCACCATGGAAAACCTGGAAGCACTGGACGGCCGTTTCGTCCTATCGTGGGGCTCCTCAGCAGTGCGCATCCACGATCCCGCCCCCAGAGAGGTTCGAATCTAGGATCTATCAGTCTTACACGCAAACACTTAACCTCTGAACCGTTGAGTCGGTCGGCATCCTACGGTGTCAATGTCTAACTTCAATCAATTTATGAAATTGTTTGACCTTTCCCACTATCTTTAGTGAGTTACTATCTCACATAAGACCCGGTTGAAGTTCACTGGTTATTTACCTTACCAAACTGCTTAGAAGTACTATCATTTCAACAAGTGTGTACTAATATTATAAAAGATTGACTGAAACCTGTAGACTAAATGTATGTCTGATTACTGGGTTATCATTCTAAACTGAATTTATTCGTAAGAACTGAATAATAAACATTAATTTTCATTCATAACTTTGAATTTCTTAAGTGAATTGAATCGATATATAATATATGATGTCTACAAGCAGTGTTAGAATACTATTTAAACAATTCGCATTGAGATAAGTTCCCATTATCTTTGTTTCAATAATCAGCGAATAGAAAAAAAGATGTTTTGAACTTGTGATTGAATCAAATCCATTTGGTTATTGGCTTAAATATATGATGATATTGATGATCGAAATTAAACTATGCAACCGTAATCGAACGGTGTTGATTATTTTCATTATCTTTTTTTATGTTATTGTTAGTATAATGTTCTGGAGATTGTTGAACTTCATCGAGATCAGAGTTAGACATCTAGACAGTCATCCAACTAGATGCTCGTTTTTTCCTAGTGTGCGACTCATCAGCTGTGAACATATATAAGTGCACAAATAGGATTCAAACCTTGAGGCTTCGGTTCCGTGCACAAACGTTTAAACTCTGGATCAATGAACCGAGATCCAATGTTTAACTATAATGTTAATTATACTATAAAATTTGTGACAAACAATTCACCAGTTCATTAATTTTTACTGCTTTTATTCTACCAAATAAAGAATGTTGGTATTTTTAACTTATATAACAGCGATTAAGTTTGATAATTCAACCTATCAAAGTAGTTGATCCATTTTAGTATAGTCACTGTTTATAATTTACTAAGCAGTTTAGTCTCTTTATAAATCCTCATACTCACAAAACCATTCACTGTTTAAGTTCATTCTTTATGAATCGACGATAATTTAATCAGTATATATTTTCTAGATGTTCACTTTCTAATCGAATCAGTGGAAAAATTTTCATTTCTTTTTTACAATAAACTTAGTAATGATATTCATACTAGTTTGTATTACTTTCTTAACTATTTTATTATATTGAGAAAGGGTTTTGTGGAGATTTTAGAAACTTCACTAGGTAAAATCATGAGTCAATTGAAGCTAGATCATCATGGAAAATCTGGAGGCACTGGAAGGCCGTTTCGTCCCAGTATAGGACTCCTCAGTAGTGCGTATACACGATCTCGCCCCCCGCGAGGTTTGAACCCAGAACCTATCAGTCTCGCGTGCGAGCGCTTAACCATTAGATCCAACGGTGTTAATGTCTAACTTCAACCAATTCACGAAATTGCGCCACCGTCACCATTGTCTTCGGTGAACTGATATCTCCACCGAACCCCTTCTCATAATAATCATCTGCTCACTAGTGACTGACCTCAAGAGACATTTCCTGGAGTTCTAGTGAGTAGTCAGGTCTATTGTGAGATATTTTATTATAATTTAAATAGTGTTTAATAATAAAACTTGAATTCAGAACATTTTATATGAATTACATTACATTAAATCTAATAGTACATGGCTTACCGACAAATGAAACGTCCAGGTTTACATATTGGTACAAAATTCTCATTATTATTACTACTATCATTCATATAATTATGGTTATTATCACTATCATTTCTTGTTCCATTCCCATTTTCATTTAATATACAACTATTTTTTATTTGATTATTTTGTTCTTCATTCTGTAAACTATTTTCATAGTTGTCATCCTGATTAATATTGTGTTTCTCATTTTCTTGTATATGACTTGATTTCCCATTAGTTTGTTGACCATTTACTTTCCATTTTCTAAGACCATTGATTTCTTTTTTTAAGTAATTATTATAGTGACCATTGGAAATTGACATTCTGAGATGATGATGATGATAATTAGTGATTCAGTGAAGTATAAATTGTATATTTATACAATAGTATTTAATGGTGTTCCTTCTTTTTTATATTGATGTTTTCATAAGAAATATTATTGGACATTGAACTAATAGTAGTAATGATACTACTATTAATAGTAACAAGTACCTTATTATGATTAATAATGATGTAAAAGAACAAAATAATAATAATGATAGTACCGGTTAGTTTATAGTAATTCTCTCATTTATGATTGGTTAGATAATACATTCAAACTTCTATTATATTTCCATGTGGTCTAAGACATTTTTGGTTCTTTTTTTTTGTGAACTATTGTTAAAGTGTACATCATTCAAATAAACAATAAAGATGAAAATAACATAGAAAATACAAGTATATACAAAATTACAACACAAATACATACATATACACATATGTACATTAATAATCTGACATGTATAGATGTGTATCCAAAGGATATTGGGATTAATTATTTACTACTGTTTCCTATCACTAATTGAAATAGAGTAATACCACACGCACACACACACACAAATAAGGATACGTGGAAATTTGTATTTTTTTTGTTGTTGCTTCTAATTATAAAATGTTAATTATACAATCCACAATAAGGAATAATGAAATTCATTCAACAATTAAGATTTGTCAGTTAGTTTCAAATTGGATTTCATTTTATGATGGTATGGTATCTGGACAAAAAAAATATTTACTTGATGTTAAATTCCATTAAAATAGTTTAGTAAAATTATTCTTTTTTGTTTCTTGTCTTTCACTTCCAAGTATTTTATTCTTTGATGGTTACTTTGTGTGTGTGTGCGTGTGTGTGTCATAAATACTTTGGAAAGAAATAAATGTCTTATTGTAGGTGTTGTTTTAAACAAATTTAAAGATATTGAAGTTATCAGAAGGGGTTTGTGGAGATTTGTAGAAATTTTCACAGATTGAAATCATGAGTCAGTTGAAGCTAGACCACCATTGAAAACCTGGAAGCACTGGACGGCCGTTTCGTCCTAGTATGGGACTCCTCAGCAGTGCGCATCCACGATCCCGCACCACACGGGGCTCGAACCCAGGACCTACTGGCTTCGTGCGCGAGCACTTAACCATTAGACCACTGGGCCGGCATCCAACGGTGTTAATGTCCGCGAGTTTCGAACTCAGAACCTAGCAGTTGGATGCGCACTGATGAGGAGTCCCATACTAGGACGAAACGGCCGTCCAGTGCTTCCAGGTTTTCAATGGTGGACTAGCTTCAACTGACTCATGATTTCAATCTGTGAATATTGAAGTTAAATAACTGAATCTATGAATTGAATAATGTTAAACTATTAGTGAAAACAATGAACGGTCATTTTGTCTTAGTATGAAACTAATCTGGTTAGCGTTTTTTTGGCGAGTTAGTTTTCTACGGGATGGGGTCGCTAACCACATGCCCAACCCTCCTCCTTTACTCGAGCTTGGGACCGGCAGTAATTCTAGAAGAGGTACAAGTATTTATAAATAGTTGTCTACGCAAGATACTCAACATCCATTGGATGGATACCATCAGCAACAGCCTACTGCGAGAGAAAACAAACCGGCATCCAGGAAATTAGGAAAAGACGATGGAAGTGGATAGGAAATACATTACGCAAATCATTAAACTACATCACGAGGCAAGCCCTAACTTGGAATCCTGAAGGGAAGTGGAAAAAAGGAAGGCGAATGAACACATTATATTGGGAAATAGAAGCAGATATGAAAATGATGAATAACAACTAGAAAGAGCTGGAAAGGATTGCCCTGGACAGGGTTGGTTGCAGAATACTGATGGGGCGCCTATGCCTCTCCACGAGGAGTAACAGGCATAAGTAAGTATGAAACTTTTCAATAGTACGTATCCATCCATGATCTTGAAAAGTGGTATTTGAATCAAGGATTTTCGATCTAAAGCGATCTAACGCTTAACTCTTTAGATCATTGAGCTGGCATTCAACGGTTTTGTACTGGCTGTGCTTCGTTAACCAATCACCCTCGTAACCGTTATTATATAAACCTCAAAGGTGTTTGAGATCAGAAGGCAAAGAGAAGCAGCGACTACAGTTTATTAGCAGATAGCTCAGACCACAGAGCAGAGAGGTGAATGAGTGAGTCAGAGAGTCGAGAGTGTATAGGATTAAGTGTATATATATATAGGGAAATGAATGGCTCATCGAATCAAATAAGCATTTAATAATAAAGCTAGCAGAATCAATAAATGCGTAGGCAGTAAACAATCTTCAAGCATACATATTTCATACAACCACAACAATAAAAACGTACAATGATATAGAAAAGTTGTTATAGTATGGATGACTCTGTCAGTCAAATAAGTTAACAAAAAAGCTTAGCCGAATTAAATGTGAACAAACTCAAATGTACGTGAGTTGCTATGCCGTAAATTGATTCATGATCAGTTCGTCCAATGCTTCCAGGTTTTCAATGATGGTCTAGGTAAAATTGACTTATGAATTCAATTATTAAAATTACTAAAAATCTTCACAAATTGCTATTCTGATATTGAAGTTATTTTAAAAAAGAATTAAAATTATGAGGTAATGAAATTTTCGACTAATTCCAAATAGATATATATTCATGATAGCGTTTATACAAATGGACCTCTAAACTTATGGATAAGCGTACAGCCATAAGAGGAGTTGCTTACGTCATTACAATGTAGTAAATGCCAGTAGATTTAATGATTTAATAAATTAATTTAATTATTATTTTATTTAACATTTAGATTGTTGTTTTATCTTTTCATTGGTTGAGATCATAAGTCAATTGAAGCTAGACCACAATGGAAAACCTAGAAGCACTGAATGGCCGTTTCGTCCTGTTGTGGGATTCCTCATCAGTGCGCATTCACGACCGCGGGATTCAAAACCCAGGACTTATCAATCTCGCTCCATGCGCTTAACCACTAGACCACTGATCCGGTCGGTGTCCAACGGTGTTAATGTCTAACTTACACTAATCCACGAAATTCTTTTATATCAATGAGTGCCTTTTTAGTGCATTATTTAAAATCTAATGAGTTACAATCTGTTTTAACAGCTAATTTGTAACTGCCATAAATGAATGATAAATCGTGGAGTTGAATTTGTCTCTGTTTTATGCTTTGGTATTTACTGATGAATAACTAGAATTATCACTACAATTCCCATCACCATTGATTGATCACTAGGTAGTGACCGATGCCCAGTGTGTCAGGTCCTTCTTAGTGCAGATCAAATCCTATCGACCAAGTTACAATGTGGCTACTAGTTTAGGTGACTGGACATCGCATAAACCGTGCTGAGATGATCAAAGTATTTTTTATGTATATAAAACAGTATATGATTTAATATATCATTACTTTCAGTTAGTTGAATACTAGAGAAATATTTCTGGTCTAGAAGTAAGAAAAGTTACATTGAATACATTTTCCCAATAAATCGATTTACAAAATCAGGTGAAAACACGAATATTGCTGAACTTATTTGCTCACTAGTACTAGCTTCAAGGTGGATTTCATGAAGTTTTAGCGAGAAGCTGTGGCCAGTGGGGTTTAACCGTGTCTGTTGTGGGACATTTACACACTGAAAACAATGGTGGACGGTCGCGCAATATTGTAGACTGATTGACGTTAGACATTAACACCGTTGAATGCGGGTTCAGTGGTCTAGAGTCTAAGCATTCGTACACCCTGCTTGCGAGGTTGTGGATGAGCGCTACGGAGGAGTCCCATACTAAGACGAAACGGACGTACAGTGATTGCAGGTTTTCAATGGTGGCCTAACACTGGACTATTCATGATATCAATCTGAACCTATATTTGTCAAACGAATTTGGTTAAACTCCATGCTAAATCGAACTTTGAGTTATGATCAACCCACAATAAGTTTATACATTTTTATGATAATTAACGGGACGATTAAAAGTTCAACATTAGATATAAGTAAATGATAATGTTTCCAATCAAATCTTCCTCAAGTTTTAGTCTGTATATTAAAGTTTAATGAAGATTTAATCGTTTTCCCATGTATGTTATTAAAAGAAACTATGATGAATTTCAAGTACGTTATAATTTTACAATGCACTGTTTGTGATTTTTCTGTTACCCATTAACGTATGTATATCATTTCATGTTTTTTATGAAAATATTTATGTACTTTAAAAGTAGTTTTGGTCAGTAATGGATTCAAGCTGAACATTCGTTGTAAAAGGGAAACAACTGTATTTACCTGCAACCTAAAATGAAGCTACTATTTAAATAGGATAATTCTACGGCAAAAATTATTTGATGTCTGAAATATGACTAACTGGACCCCAACTAAATAAAAGAGAAGTCTTGGGTACCACTGAGTGTGCAGATTGAAGGCCTTAGCACTTAGTTATTTGGAATCGTGAGTAGATAACTTAAGAAAGCCTCGGAAAAAGAAGGGCGGAACAGTCCAGAGGTTCTTTATTTTCAGGGATTTACCAGTACTTATTTTAGCTAGCTGTTACTTATATTTTCATCTGTATTATTGAGAACTTGAGTTTTTCATTATCCGAAAAACACGTCACACAGTTTTTTTTTAGCCAAATTAGTATATACTACTTTCCTTTATAAGTAAACAGCTTTTATTTGTTAATTATTCTTTTGTGGTAAATGGTTCTGTGACGATAGGTAACTTCGCATACATTCATTGTAGACGCTGAACCTGTTAGTCCTAAGAAAATTAACAAGATGAAAGCATTTTTTAAACATCATTGCTGTTTCTTAGCACCTTCACTGACGAAAATTTCTGTATGTAATTTCTAGATTAGATGGGTGCTTTTGAAATGAATGATTTAATCCAGAAACTTTCGTTGTCACTGCTCATTACCACGTAAGCTTAGTTCAGTTAGAAGCAGGTATTTTGTATGGTTGGAGGGGTTTTCTTCGTTTTTAAAGAGTTGTGATGTGATATCTTTGAAAAAATTTGTACCTAAT